AAAGAGCTTTCATAAACTTGGCTTAAATGTTTAGTAGAATTAAATGTTTAATGTGTGGGGTGACCTGGAAGGTTAAATGTTTAATAGAATTCACCTGTGAAACCATTTGGGCCTGGTATTTTCTTTGGAGGAAGGCTTTTCATAATGAATTCAATTCCTTTAGTAGATACAGGGCAATGATACGCAGCTTCTAAAATGGCTCTAGTGCTGATGATTAATCTATAGCCTTTCAGCTCCCAATTCATTCTTTAAGCTCTGCAATAATAGAATTCACTAAAACATCTCTCCTTTGTGGTGAGTACAATGAAGACTTTTCTTAATAGAGGGCATTGGAGCAAGGGTTCCATGCTGTTTCCTATAGCTTCAGTGATGGAGATATAAGAACATCCAGTGGAGTGCTTCTCCACGGTGCATCAAGCACATGTGGTCCCTTGGTGACACTGTAACCTTTGTCTGCCCTAGCAATAATTTTTGATGGTTCCCTCAACACAGAAATTGGTGCCCTGAAGGCTTCCTTCCCCTCACCAGATTCCAGATTCCTCCTGTCTACACTGGTACTTATTCCTTCTGCAAGATGTACACCTCACTTGCAGCCAGCAATGAGTTTCAGCCCTGAGTAACTAGCAAATCTCTTCTGTCCAATAGCCTGAACTAGCGTTGGTGGTATAGTGGTGAGCATAGCTGCCTTCCAATAGCCTGAACTACACCTCCAATGAAATGAGAAGCCCTATGTGGGGTTTTCTTCCAAGTTTGCCCTTCTTTTTGTACTCTCCCTGAGCTATAGGTGGTATATGGAATTTCCTTTTACCTTATAGTTACTCACCTATTAGTTTCAATTGTAACCTGGGCATGGTGGCCCATGCCTGGTAATCCTAGCACTTAAGAGGCAGGATTGCTGCAAGTTCAAGGCCAGCCTGAGCAACATAGTGAGTTCAAGGCCAGCCTGAATTAGAGTGAGACCCTGTCTCAAAAAACCCAACAAAATAGAGTTTAAATTCTGTATATTAAACTTTTCCCCATATAACCTACTATGTAGGCTTATCTCCTCCAGACTGGGCACAAATGGATATAGCTTTCAGAGACCCCTGCCTCCTGGGACTTATGCCCTTGTGTAATCTCCTTCAAGTGTGGACTTGAGTTAGTGACTAGCTTCTAAGGATTAGAATATTACAAGTGATGACACGTTGCTTCCAAAATTAGGATATAGGAGGCTGTGACTTTTTGCCAGCTTTCTCTTCCAATCTCATATTGTGAGATGCCCTATGGAGAGGATCATGTGGCAAGGAACTGACAGCAGCCTCTAGCCAATAACCCAAGAAAAACCAAAGTCCTCATTCCAACCCTCATAAGAAACAGAATCCTGCCAATAACCATGGGAGTAAGCTTGGAAGCAGATCCTTCCCAGGAGAGCCAGGAGAGGACTGCAGTGCAGCCCACATGACCCTGAAACAGAAGACTCTTGAGTCACATCTAGATTCCTGACTACAGAAACTCTGAGATAATAACCAATGTGTTAAGCCACTCGACTTTTGAGAGTAATTTATGTAACAATAATACAAGGGTTATTTCAAATTTCCTTTTCATTTTTAAAAGACATTGGTCCATTTCTAAGTTAAGACCTTCTAGTATAATTTTTCAAAAGTACACACAATGGGGCCGGGGATTTAGCTCAGTGGTTTCGCCGCCTGCCTTGCAAGCGCAAGGTCCCAAGTTCGATCCCCGGTACCCCCAGAAAAGTACACACAATATACCAATTTATTTGCTAAAAAATACTTCAAAAATAAAAACTATGGCCACACAAAAACATGCATACAAATGTTCACGGCAGCTTTATTTGGAACAGCCAAATGCTTTTTAGTGGAAGAATGGTTAAACCATGGTATAGCCATACTATTGATTACTACTCAGCAATATAAAGGAACAAAACTATTAACAAATTCAACAATTTAGAAGGGTCTTAAAGGTATTGTGTCGAGTCAAAGAGGGGAACTGTGTTGAGTCAAGAAGTTACATATAGGTTACATATAGTATAACTTCATTTATACAGATATTCATTTAATGACCTTTAGACTTAAAACTTGTCTTTTTTTGTAGAGTTCTGTACATCTTTTTTACAAAGCCTCAATGTCTTTTTATTTTTTTGAGACAAGGTCTTGATCTGTAGTTCAGGCTGGCCTTGAACTCATGGTGATCCTCCTGCCTCAGCCTCTTGAGTGCTGGGATTACAGGCATGTGCCACAACACCCGGCTCAATGTCTTTTTGTACAATATACTTTGTTTTTATAATACTATAATTTTTGCTAATTGTACAGTAGAGTACTGCAGTTTTATATTGTTATACATTACAGACTGCATGTAAGGGTTCTGCATATAGAAACAAAGTCATGAAGTTAGAGTTTCCTTTGACCATTTGTTTTGAATATTGTACATACTAGTATACACAATTCCTTTAGCGACCAATTAAACAACCCAGTCGCAAGAATGTAACTCAGTCGTTAAATGAGAAATATCTGTGTAACATTCTCAAAATGACAAAACTACAGAGATGGAGAATTTACTAATGGTTGCCAGGGTTTAGGAATCAGAGTATGGGGTTAAGGAAGGAAAAGAGATTTAAATATAGAGAGACATAATAAGGGATCACTGAGAGGGAACAGTTCTGTTACATTGATAGTAATGGTTGTTCCACAAGCCTATGTGTGAGAAAAATATATAGAAATACTCACACACAAAGTGCATGAGCGTGAGCACAAAGTGACTGGATGTGATTCTGGTAAGATTTGAATTAGGTCTGTGGATTGTCCAAATAATTGTTTCCTGGTTTTGATATTAAAAATGCTACTATCAGAGAAACTATGAAGGGTAGGTACATGGTCCTCTCTGTACTTTTGAGACAAGAGTTTTGTTTTGTAGCCCAGGTTGACCTCCAACTAGCAACTGTTTGGCCTTAGCCCCAACTGCTAGATTATAGGTGTATGCCATGGTGCCTGGCGCCTCTACTTTTTGCTACTTCCTGTGCATTTGTCATTATTTAAAAATATAAAGTTCAAAAAATATTTTAGTTGATCTCCAGTCTCTTGGGCTTAAATATCTATTTTAAATTGTACCCCTTATTATTTTCTATCTGATTCAGAGGTTGAATTGTGAAAGACCTGAAGAAAATGAGAGATCTAGGCGTGCAGTTATCCTATGGATATTTAAGATTCTGTTAAAGTGCATAACTATTTCAATAGGTATTAACTATGAAACAAAATCTCACTGGGTATTTTATTTTGTTTCTTTGCCTCTGCTAGAATCACCTATTCATGGTTTTTCTTTCTGATCCCAATTCACTCCAAGGTTTATACAAGATTATATTTGACAATAAGTGGTCTGTTCTCAGCAGGGGGCCTGTGATTTTAAGCCAATTTTAATCCTCTAACATATGTAGATATCTAATATACTGTCTATACAATAAATCCAGTCAATTGTCCCCCTTTTCAAGGTCATTTTTTTCCTTTTTTTTGGTACGGGGGATCAAACTCGGGACCTTGCGCTTGCAAGGCAGGTGCCAGAACCAGTGAGCTAAATCCCTGGCCCAGAAATTTTCCTCATTTCTGCTTGGCCATTCTGTCAATACTTAACATTCACAGCTGAGTGGACCTACCTGTTAGTTTAACTCGTTTCACCTTTCACATTGCCAGTGATCTTTCTAAAATCCCAAACTGTTCAAATTATCTAACTTCCATAGTATTGCATTCAGTGACCTTGGACAAATTCTCTAGGTCTCTGACTCAGATTTGTCTGTGAATGGTGACAATATAGTTCTACATTATAATACACTTAACCAAACTCAGACCTGTGTCTGGAATATATAGTGTTCTAAGAGATAGCTACTTGTTTTATTGCTCATTTAAACACTCCCTCCATTATAACACTTAAGCTAAAACAAGATCCAACCACCATCGCCACATCTTTGGAAGGCAGAAAGAGGCAGACCTGAATCAGAATTCTGACTCCACTGTCTTCTGCTTCTGAAGTCTTGGCAGGTTACATAATATTTCAAATATTAAATAGGGGCTGCACCTCCGTAGTGAAGGATGGTTAAGATTGAATGGGTAGCTGTGAACATACAATAGGTGCCTGAAATACTTCACTTATCTCTGCTTGAGGAAATGTTATTTGCCTACAAAATTTAGTCAAAAGTCATCTTATAGAGAAGCACTTCCTCTGCCTCACAACTACCACCAGCTTCATAATTTCCCTTCTGGAGTTTTCATATACATCTCTGAACTATTTAATTTAGTCTTTCCCATTCTCTACACTATGAGCTTCTGGAGAAAGGGCTTGTGTTTCATAGACCTTTAACCTTTATGATCAGGACAGGGGCTTAAAATACATCAGTGCAGTGTACAAATAAAACTGCACAAGGCCCAGTGAAAACGGTATCTAGATTCACTCAGGCCATACTCTGTTCATATTCTGAGGTCCACAGAACTGTCTTCATACCTCTGTAACACAGTTTTATTTATTTCTGTATCTGCTGTATTTTCTACCCCTAGACTGTAAACTCAGTTTTATCTACGTTTTTAATCTTTCACTTAGAAAGCATTCTCTACTGAATGAAGTAATAGATAGAATTAAGGAATATTTTAATTTCCTTGTGTCTATTCATTTATTTCAGATCATTCCCAATGGTACATGGATGAGGCAGGTGATAATGTGAGTGTATCCTGGTAGCTCTGTTAAGCCAAAACCCCACACCCTGCCCCCCAACCAAACCAAAGCAAACCCAAGAAAATTAAGACATGTGGGCGGGGGATTTAGCTCAGTGGTTCCCCTGCCTGCCTTGCAAGCACAAAGTCCCAAGTTCGATCCCCAGTACCAAAAA